ACTCTTTGCGACCCCATGGACTGCAGCACGCCAGGCCTCCCTGTCCATCACCAGCTCCCAGAGTTTACCTAAACTCATGCCCATCGAGTCGGTGATGCCATCCAACCATCTCATCCTCTGTCGTCCCCTTCTCCTCCGGCCCTCAGTCTTTCCCAGCATCAGGGTCTTTTCCAATGAGTCAGTTCTTCGCATCAGGTGACCAAAGTACTGGCGTTTCAGCTTCAGCATCAGTCCTTCCAGCGCAGTCCACCAGGGAAATTTACATTAAAGGATTTCTTTCTCTCTTTCTTTTGGCCACACTAGGTGGCTTTCGGGATGTTATTTCCCTGAAAGGACAGTATCTGAATTGCTAAAGGATTTGCGTCCAGTGATCAGTGATTCAAGTCCTTCATCATCTCCACCCCAGCATCCACATGCCAAGGGGCCCTCCATCCGTGCGTGGAGATGCTGCTACTCAGAGGCACAGCACCAAGGCAAGAGAGCATCTTCCTTTGATAACGCAGGAGAGGGCAGCGGTGTCGGGGAAGGTGGGAAGGCACAATCTGCCTTGGGAGATTCTCGGGCAGAGCAGTTTGGCGAAAGGGAACAAAACTTGAAGATGAGGGCATGGACACTGATTTTTGCAACCACTCTCCGTGCCCCATGGAACACCTAGAATGCTCCCACAGACTCTGATCTCAGAGTTGCTGGCTTACAGGACTTATGGGAGGTCCCACCCTCAGGCCAGGTTTTGCAGATCACAGGACTACAAAAACAGGACCAAGGAACCAAATTTGACTCAACGGAAAGGGAAAAGCACGTATTAATGTGCCTGCTAATGTGCCTGATGACACTGCAAAATGAACTCGCCAAGTCGGTAGGTGCCCAACATGCTACTGGAGAAGAGTGGGGAAGTAACTCCAGAAAGAAGGAACAGACGGAGCCAAAGCAAAAACAACGCCCAGGTGTGTATGTGACTGGTGATGGAAGTAAAGTCTGATGCCGTAAAAAGTAACCTTGCATAGGAACCTGAAATGTCAGGCCCATGAATCAAGGCGCACTGGAAGTGGTCAAACAGGAGATGGCAAGAGTGAACACCGACATTCTAGCAATCAGCGAACTAAGATGGACTGGAATGGGTGAATTTAACTCAGACGACCATAATATCTACTACTGTTGGCAGGAATCCCTTAGAAGAAATGGAGTAGCCATCATAGTCAACAAGAGAGTCTGAAATGCAGTTCTTGGGTACAATCTCAAAAATGACAGAATGATCTCTGTTCATTCCCAAGGCAAACCATTCAATATCACGGTAATCCAAGTCTATGCCCCGACCAGTAACGCTGAAGAAGCTGAAGATGGACGGTTCTATGAAGACCTTCCAGAACTAACACCCAAAAAGATATCCTTTTCATTACAGGGGACTGGAATGCAAAAGTAGGAAGTCAAGAAATACCTGGAATACCAGGCAAATTTGGGCCTGGAGCACAGAATGAAGCAGGGCAAAGGCTGGGAGAGTTCTGCCAAGAGAACACACTGGTCATAGCAAACAGCCTCTTCCAACAACACAAGAGAAGACTCTGCATGGACATCACCAGATGGTCAATGCTGAAATCAGATTATATTCTTTGCAGCCAAAGATGGAGAAGCTCTATACAGTCAGCAAAAAACAAGACCTATACAGTCAGCAAAAACAAGACCAGGAGATGATTGTGGCTCAGATCATGAACTACTTATTCCAAAATCCAGACTTAAATTGAGAAAAGTATGGAAAACCACTAGACCATTCAGGTATGACCCAAATCAAATCCCTTACGATTATACAGTGGAAGTGACAAATAGATTCAAGGGATTAGATCTGATAGACAGAGTGCCTGAAAAACTATGGACAGAGGTTCATGACATTGTATAGGAGGCAGTGATCAAGACCATCCCCAAGAAAAAGAAAAGAAAAATGGCAAAATGGCTGTCTGAGGAGGCCTTACAAATAGCTGAGGAAAGAAGATAAGCTAAAGGCAAAGGAGAAAAGGAAAGATATGCCCACTTGAATGCAGAGTTCCAAAGAATAGCAAGCTAAGAAAGCCTTCCTCCATGATCAGTGCAAAGAAATAGAGGAAAACAACAGAATGGGAAAGACTAGAGGTCTCTTCAAGAAAATTAGAGATACCCAGGGAACATTTCATGCAAAGATGGGTTCGATAAAGGACAGAAATGGTATGGACCTAACAAAAGCAGAAGATGTTAAGAAGAGATGGCAAGAATACACAGAAGAATTATACAAAAAATATCTTCATGACAGATAACCATGATGGTGTGATCACGCCCTTAGAGCCAGACATCCTGGATTGCAAAGTCAAGTGGGCCTTAGGAGGCATCACTACAAACAAAGCTAGTGGAGGTGATGGAATTCCAGTTGAACTATTTCAGATCTTAAAAGGTGATGCTGTGAAAGTGCTGCACTCAATATGCCAGCAAATTTGGAAAATTCAGCAGTGGCCACAGGACTGGAAAAGGTCAGTTTTCATTCTAATCCCAAAGAAAGGCAATCCCAAAGAATGTTCAAACTATCGCACAATTGCATTCATCTCACACACTAACAAAGTAATGCTCAAAATTCTTCAAGCTAGGCTTCAACAATACAGGAACTGAGAACTTCCAGATGTTCAAGCTGGATTTAGAAAAGGCAGAGAAACCAGAGATCAAATTGCCAACATCCTCTGGATCATCAAAAAAAACAAAAGAATTCCAGAAATACATCTACTCTGCTTTATTGATTACGACAAAGCCTTTGACTGTATGGATCACAACAAATTGTGGAAAATTCTTCAAGAGATGGGAATACCAGACCACCTGATCTGCCTCCTGAGAAATCTGCATGCAGGTCAGGAAGCAACAGTTAGAACTGGACATGGAACAACAGACTGGTTCCAAATAGGGAAAGGAATTCGTCAAGGCTGTGTAGTGTCACCCTGCTTATTTAAGTTAGATGAAGAGCTCATCTTGTGAAATGCCCGGCTGGATGAAGCACAAGCTGGAATCAAGATTTCTGGGAGAAATATCAGTAACCTCAGATATGCAGATGACACCACCCTTATGGCAGAAAGTGAAGAGGAACTAAAGACCATCTTGATGAAACTGAAAGAGGAGAGTGAAAAAGTTGGCTTAAAACTCAGCATTCAAAGAATTAAGATCATGGCATCTGGTCCCATCACTTCATGGCAAATAGATGGGGAAACAATGGAAACTGTAACAGACTTTATTTTGGGGAGGCTCCAAAATCACTGCAGATGGTGACCGCAGGCATGAAATTAAAAGATGCTTGCTCCTTGGAAGAAAAGCTATGACCAACCTAGACAGCATATTAAAAAGCGGAGACATTACTTTGCCAGAAAGGTCCATCTAGTCAGAGCTATGGTTTTTCCAGTAGTCATGTATGGATATGAGAGTTGGACTATAAAGAAAGCTGAGCACCGAAGAATTGATGCTTTTGAACTACGGTGTTGGAGAAGACTCTTGAGAGTCCTTTGGACTGCAAGGAGATTCAACCAGTCCATCTTAAAGGAAATTAGTCCTGAATATTAATTGAAAGGACTGATGCTGAAGCTGAAACTGCAATACTTTGGCCACCTGATGCAAAGGACTCACTCACTGGAAAAGACTCTGATGCTGGGAAAGACTGAAGGCAGGAGGAGAAGGGGACGACAGAAGGATGAGATGGTTGGATGGCATCACTGAGTCGATGGACATGAGTTTGAGCTGGACTGTGAGCGGGAGTTGGTGATGGACAAGGAGGCATGGCGTGCCGCAGTCCATGGGGTCTCAAAGAGTCAGACACGACTGAGTGGCTGAACAGAACTGAACGTGCCTGATGAGATTGGAATACACAGCGCCGCTAGGAGGTATTCATGCCTGGAAAATGGAATCCGCACTAAAGTGAGCCTCTAGGTCTGCCTCCTAGTTTACGGGAGACCTAGGGGACAGAGGAACAAGTTCAACAGCACCATAAGGAAGCAACCCGCCAAGGTCAGAACGTGGGACATTCTACAGACCAACAGTCCAGCTTCTCTAACAAATCACTAGGGGTGGGGGTGTAAATGATGGGGTAGGGAAGAGTAGTGCTAAAGAATAAAAGAGACTGAAAATACTCAATACAAATTCAAGGCTGCTCCCTGGTGGTCCAGTGGTTAGGACTTGATGCTTTCACTGCCAAGGCCCAGGTTTGATACCTGGTCAGGGAACTAAGGCCCAGTAAGCCTTGAGGCACGCCCCAGAAAAAGGAAACAAATTCACTATGAAGATCTTGTTTGGATCATGATTCTAAGAAAACAATTTTAGGAGACACCTTTGAAAAACAGAGGAAGTCTGAATGTGAAGTCAAATACTAGATACTAATAAGGAAATATTAATTTTGGTAGGTGTGATAATACCATGCTGATTATGTTTTTTTTTAATCATTCAGTTAGAGTTGTGTGTTGAATTTACAAGTAAAATTATATGATGTCTGAGATTTGCTTTTATAAAACATTCTCTCTCCCAAGTATACTGGATGGCGGGAGGCGGTGGGGCAGGGGGACATGTTAAATGAGTTAACAAAATGTCACTAATGATTGAAGCGGAACTGTGGTATGGGGTACGTCATGGGATTCTCTCCACTTTTTTACATGCTTGAAAATACCCATAATATAAGATTTTATGGGGGATGAGGAGGAAGGAAAGAGCATATTTGATTAGTGCCAACAGAGCTCTGTGCTAAGCCCTCCCTAAATATATATACCTCACTTGAATACTTATTTACAAGTCCTGAGACAGCTGCCAACAAGCCTCTTTCTCAGTCTAAGGAGAGGCAGGGGCACTCCCTTCACTGGATGCAAACAGGGTCAGCGATCAGAGGGAGCCACTGGCAACTGGAGATCACAAAGGGGGAACGTGGCCACAGGAGGGAGGCTGGAAATACCCCTTGGCAGAGAAACAACAGAGGAAACATGCTCCACTCAGATCCCTCCCACCATGCGCTGACTTACCCCTGCAGCAAAGCCGAGGCTTCCGTCTAAGATCCGCCTCTGAAAATGAAAACAAGATGTTTCAGTTTCTAAGAAACGTTTCATGGGATAGGAGGCAATCATAAGCCTAAGAAAGCCACATGAATAAAGACAAGCCCAAGCTGGAGCTTGCAAATCTATCTGGAACCCTGGACCCGAGTCTTTATAAAATGAGCCAAGAGTCAGGGGAAAAAAAATTTTTTTTAAACCTTCCACCCATTCCACAACCAATCGGAGCCTTCATTCAGCATGACCCTCGGCTTGCGCTGGTCCGTGTGTTTTACGTCTTTCTCAGTGCTCCCTGTGAACTACGGCCATAAACCTTGAGTAAGGAGCTGGTATAAAGTTGGAAATTGACAAGTACTCACAACGAGCACGTGGACCAACCAAAATCCTCCTGCGCTGCAGGTGGGCGTACAAGTTGGTCCAGCCACTTTGAAAAGTGAACCTTCATCAGCATGCCCTGTGACCCACCAGTGAGGGCCATGTGTAATTACCAACAGAAACACGTACTCGGATTCAGCGGACTTGTGGGCAAAAATGCTTTTTATGGCACTACTTGTGAGAGCCGAGACTCAAAACTACCCAGAAGTCCACCAACAGCAAAATGGAGAGATCACGAGCACGTACACACACGAACACCATGCAGAAATGGAACGCACATACATACTGACTGGAGCTCACGATCAGGCACAGGCATTCAGTAAATGGGAAAGCAGTGAACGGGAAAGTCGCTCAGTCATGTCCAACTCTTTGTGATCCCATGGACTGTAGTCCATGGGATTCTCCAGGTCAGAATACTGCAGTGGGTAGCCTTTCCCTTCTCCAGGGGATCTTCCCAACCCAGGGATCGAACCCAGGTCTACTGCATGGCAGGCAGATTCTTTACCAGCTGAGCCACAAGGGAAGCCCAAGAATACTGGAATCCATTGCCTATCCCGTCTCCAGCAGCTCTTCCCAACCCAGGAATCCAACCAGGGTCTCCTGCATTGCAGGCGGATTCTTTACCAGCTGAGCAATAAACAGGGTGAAATTAGCCAGACACAGAAGAGCATACACTACACAATACCCTCAACGAAACAGAGAAAACGAGACTCTCCTGTTGAGACCAGGAGAGGGGCTGCCCCTGGAGTGGAGTAGGCGGCTGGGGTGAAAGGGGCCCTGGAAGGGCTGCTGCAGGGGAGCTCAGGGGTTCGGTTCAGTTCAGTCCAGTCGCTCAGTCGTGTCCGACTCTTTGCGACCCAATGGACTGCAGCACGCCAGGCTTCCCTGTCCATCACCAACTCCTGTAGTTTACCCAAACTCATCTCCATTGAGTCGGGGATGCCATCTAACCATCTCATCCTCTGTCATCCCCTTCTCCTCTCATCTTCAATCTTTCCTAGCATCAGGGTCTTTTCAAATGAGTCAGCTCTTCACATCAGGTGGCCAAAGTATTGCAGTTTCAGCCTCAGCATCAGTCCTTCCAATGATCACCCAGGACTGATCTCCTTTAGGATGGACTGGTTGGATCTCCTTGCAGTCCAAGGGACTCTCAAGAGTCTTCTCCAATACCACAGTTCAAAAGCATCGATTCTTCAGTGCTCAGCTTTCTTTATAGTCCAACTCTCACATCCATACATGACTACTGGAAAAACCATAGCCTTGACTAGACGGACCTTTGTTGGCAAAGTAGTGTCTCCGCTTTTTAATATGCTCTCTAGGTTGATCATAGCTTTTCTTCCAAGGAGCAAGCATCTTTTAATTTCATGCCTGCAGTCACTATCTGCAGTGATTTTGGAGCCCCCCAAAATAAAGTCTGTCACAGTTTCCACTGTCTCCCCATCTATTTGCCATGAAGTGATGGGACCAGATGCCATGATCTTAATTCTTTGAATGTTGAGTTTTAAGCCAACTTTTTCACTCTCCTCTCAGTTTCATTAAGAGGCTCTTTACTGCCTCTTCACTTTCTGCCACAAGGGTGGTGTCATCTTCATATTTGAGGTTACTAATATTTCTCCCAGAAATCTTGATTCCAGCTTGTGCTTCATCCAACCCCGCGTTTCTCATGGTGTACTCTACATATAAGTTAAATAAACAGGGTGACAATATACAGCCTTGACGAACTCCTTTCCCTATTTGGAACCAGTCTGTTGTTCCATGTCCAGTTCTAACTGTTGCTTCCTGACCTGCATATAGATTTCTCAAGAGGCAGGTCAGGTGGTCTGGTATTCCCATCTCCTTCAGAATTTTCCAGTTTATTGTGATCCACACAGTCAAATGCTTTGGCATAGTCAATAAAGCAGAAATAGATGTTTTTCTGGAACTCTCTTGCTTTTTCGATGGTCCAGCAGATGTTGGCAATTTGATCTCTGGTTCCTCTGACTTTTCTAAATCCAGCTTGAACATCTGGAAGTTCATGGTTCACGTATTGCTGGAGCCTGGCTTGGAGAATTTTGAGCATTACTTCACTAGCGTGTGAGATGAGTGCAATTGTGCGGTAGTCTGAGCATTCTTTGGCATTGCCTGTCAGGGGTTGGGGGATCCTATTCTAGTACTTGATCTGGACGCTATTTCCACAGACACTGGTGAAAAGTCAGCAAGCTATACACTTAGAAAATGTGCATTTTCCTTTCTTTAAATTATTTATCTATTTTTGGGTGTGCTGGGTCTTCGTTGTTGCACGTGAGTGTTCTCTAGTTGTGACAAGCGAGGGCTGCTCTCTGCTGTGGTCGCCGCTTCTCATCGCAGCAGCTTCTCTTGTGGCTCGAGGGCTCCAGAACTCGGGCTCAGTAGTTGGGGTGCATGGACTTAGTTGATCTTCCCGCACCAGGGGATCGAACCCGTGTCCCCTGCATTGGCAGGTGGATTCTTAACCACTGGACCACCAGGGAAGTCCATAAAATGTGCATCTTTCTGCATGCATTGTATTTTTCAATAAAAAGCTTTTCTTTTTAAGGAGGGACCTAAGTTATACAATCTCTAGCCACATGGACACACTTGTTATTGTTCAGTCATAAACTAATTGTCCAGCTGTTGGGGACTGGCTAAATAAACTGCAGTGCATTTTTATGGTGGGATGGTCTACAGCTATCTAAGTAACTAATCAAAAAACCATTTAGGCTTAGGAAGGGGTGCCTGTGACATCCAGTGAAAAATGCTCATTATAAAACTTCATAATTTGATCCTCATTATGTAAAGAAAACAGATATGTCTGTACTTGTATACTCAAATACAGCCAAATAAATTTGAACAAATATTTCAGTTTTCCTTTCACAAAAGTGGGGTCGAGAACATTTTTTATTCTTTCTTTTGGCTTCTCCACATTTTTTGAGTTCCCTACAATTACAATATTTTTTTTTTCAATCAAGAAAATGAATTTGGGTGACTTTCCTGGTGGTCCAGTGGCTAGGACTCTGCGCTCCCAAGGCAGGGGGCCTGGGTTCGACCCCTGGTCAGGGAACTAGATCCCACATGCCTCAACTAAGACACAGTGCTGCCAAATAAACAAATACTTTTTAAAAAAAGAAAATGAATTTCTAATGAAGTTGAGCCACTGTTGATAGCAGCGGAGGGTAGATAGCTGTGTGTCCATCATCCTCAGGGACCCTCACTGAAGCCCCTATATCAGCTGCGTGAAAACTGGGGTTCGCTGGGGCAGGAGAAGAGCTTGCCTCTGGGCACTCCGGTCCACAGCTGGCTTTATCCCCTCACATCTGGCCCTTTTCACCTCTCCGGCACAGCTCCTGTGCAGAGAAGGCTCACCTAGCCCACCTGAGCCTGCTCCCTCTAGAAGGTCCTGCTTTCCAGGCTGGTCCTTGGCTGGCTCCTGGGAAGCTGGCCCTGGCACTGCTCCCCCATCCCTGACGGATAAGGGCGGGTTCCTGTGCCCGCTTCACAAACCACGTGATTTGAGCGGGACACCTGCTTTCCTTCTGAGGGCCTGGGATTTGGGTTGGTGGCTCAGATGTCTCTGTGCCCAGCCCCCAGTAAAGACCTTGAGGACCGAGCCTGTGCTGGGCGTCCCTGGGCAGACACATCGTTCCCGCGCTGTCATTGCTGGGGAAGGAGCACGCTCTGTGCCCCCTCGTAGAAGGAAGGGGGTGTCAGACCCCAAACCTGTGCACAGATCTCCCCAGACCCTGTCTCTCTCGCTGAAGCTGTTGTGTCCTTTCGTTGTCATAGACCTTAGTGACGAGAACGTGGCTCAGCCATGTGCCGAGTCCCACGAGCCCGTCTAGTGAATCACGGCATCTGTGAGTGGTCCTGGGGACCCCCGACGCGCCTCTGCACAGAGAAGTGTCTCAGCCGTTCCTCCTACTGACCTGGGGGTGACGCCAACGGGAGACAGATTAGGGGCTCTCAGCTCCCAGGGGAGGGGGCACCTCTGCGATGGCTTCTCCCTTCTGAGCCGCCCCCACAGCACCGACCGGGGTCACTCGGGGCCTGTAGACTTCCACTCAGGCGTCTGCAGCCAGCCGCCCAGCCAGAGCCCAGCTCTTCCGACTCAGATCTCAGCTTCTGAACGCAGCTGAAACTGGGGAAGATTGAAACGTGGGCTGCTCTACCCCGGAAGGGCTTGAGGGTGGGACACCGGAGGACCACAGCTGTCGGGAGGCTGGCGGGGCGCTGGGCCTCCTGTTGACAGTAGCCTGAGGCCCGGACCAGTCTCCGCAGGCTCCCAGCCCACTTCCTGGGACATCAGCTCTGCAGTACAGGCCCTGACACGAGGGGGCCCCGGCCGGTGGCTTCCCGGGCCTCTCGGGGGTCTGCCTCGCTCCTCCACCACGTGCCCGCTCGCCACACCTGCCCTGCCCGCGCCCCGAGCACGGTGGGCACGGGGACTCTGCCTTCATCCAGACGCTGAGGGCGACGGCCCCTGGCGTGGACTTGGGCGGCCGAGGCTGGAGAAGAGGCAGGAACTCCAGGCACAGGAGGCGGGCGTGGGCTGGGGAGGGGCGGGGAGGGTGTGTGGAGTGTACATGGAGGGGGGGTCTGGGAGATGTAGGGGCGCAGGGGGGTGGGGTCTTTAGGGACCTGGGGGGGCGGGGGGCAGGTCTGTGTGTGTTCATCCCAAACGGGGCGAGGGAGGAGACGAAGAGCCTAGAAATGGGCTAAAGAGGACAGAGCCGTCAGCCTTGCTTTTTCCCAGGGTCTTTTCCAGCACTTGAGGTCACAGGGCGGGGGGGACACACCTCACACACACTGCCACCTGCTCCAGGCCCGAGAGAACCGAGGCGGCGGAGAGAAATCAGGCAGGGGCTCGGAAAGGCCAAAAAACTGGGCATCGGGAAGGGGGAGACAGAGGACCTGTGAGCTCTCAGCCAGGGGGCTGGAGGGGGCGAGGGAAGGAAAGGGGCAGAGTTCACGACAAAGGGCCCCTCGCGATCCCCCGAACCAAAGCGAGGCAACTCACCTGTCCACTAGAGAAGACGAACACGAGGGCCGCCCCGGCCGCCGTCAACCCCCAGGTGAAGAAGGTCCCCAGCAGGGCCTGGGACACCGGGCTGTGGCCGTGGAGCATGCTGGATACAGCTGTGTGCAGAGGAGCAGAGGCTCAGAGCCCGTGGTCCCTCCCCGGGACGCGCAGGCGCTAAGGGGCCCGCAGACCCAGACGGCCCAGCTAAGGCTGGGCGGCTTCACCCCAGCTGACCCCAGGTATCGGAAACCATCCGGCTCCCAAAGGAGAGACCTGGGGACGCCCAGGGAGACACTGGGGAGTACAGGCCACGAAAGAAGGGACGACACTGGGAAACAATTCCAAAGACCTGCAAAGAATGTGAGTTACTTAGCCTGGAGGGAGAGAGCCTGGGAGGGTCTGACCGCAGCCTTCCGGCATGTTCTACCCATTTTGCCTGAGCCTGCCTATCATCCATCATCGGTCTAGTCTCCTCCGAGCACAGGTTGACCAGCTCGGATGCCCTCCTGAAGCTCTTCCACCCAAAGAAAGTGTCGGTCGCTCAGTCGTGTCCAAATGTTTGCGACTCCATGGACTGCAGCCCGCCAGGCTCCTCTGTCCCGAGGATTTCCCAGGCAAGAACAATGGAGAGGGTAGCCATTCCCTTCTCCAGGGGATCTTTCTGACCCAGGGATCGAACCCGTGTCTCCTGCGCTGCAGGCAGATTCTTTACTGTCTGGGCCACCTGGGAAGCCCAATCAAACTTTCGACAGCTCTCGAGAGCAGTTCTCACGGCAGCTCCTGTGGCCTCCAAGGATTCCCTCCATCAGCTGACCGTCAACTCACCCAACAACTCTTCAACCACGGCACCCTGCAAGGGCACTGTGTTCCAGCTCAACCTTGTCATTCGCAGTACCTTTCACAAGCCCCAGATGGTCCTGCTCCAAGTCTCTCTTTATCCGGTTTCCTCCCAGCCTCCAGCCATCAGACCCAGAGCATCCTCTGTTAACGCCAACTTCGATGCCATGATTCCCTGATACCCCTCCACTCTGGTCCCAGGGCACATCTTCAGTGCTTTCTTTGTGTGGGCTTGCCTCCTTCATCTTTCACATCATTCGTTGTTTAAAAATAGGGATGATGCTTTTGCACATTTGATACCCCCATAAAACAGGGTTTTCTGGCACCACAAAACATATGTGTTGAATTGAAAAGGGCCGGCTTACTGTGAATAAGCAAAGACACAAAAGCAAAACCCAAGCGGCACTTCCCCCAGTCCGCTGAGCATGTGTGTGCCTGCTCAGTCGCTTCCGTCGTGTCCGACTCTTTGTGACCCCGTGGACTGTAGCCCGCCAGGCTCCTCTGTCCGTGGGGTTCCCCAGGCAAGAATACTGGAGCGGGTTGCCATGCCTTCCTCCAGGGGATCTTCCGCCCCCCACTCCCTGCTCAGGGATCGAACCAATGTCTCCTGTATTTCCTGCATTGCAGGCAGATTCTCTACCCACTGAGCCACCTGGGAAGCCCCCCTCCCGCTGAGCACTTTTGCTCCCAAAGCTGAAGTTACTCCGCTGTCCACCATGGAAGGAAAGGGAAGTACCATTCCCTCTTGGTTCTGCTCGGTGGACCGCCTCTAGACTTGCACGCGTTCTGAATTCTAGCTCTGAAATGATAGGGAGTCACCTCACCTGTGGAAAGTTACAAGGCAGAGAAACCCGCTTGCTGAAAAGCTCTGTGTGTGGTTGATACAATAAACAGCGGGGCTCGAGGCCACATCTCAAAGGGCTCATTCAGCTCCCCCGATCCTCCAGCACTCAGTGGGCTCAGCCCTGCCAGGCCCTAGTGGTCTGTGGGGAGCCAGCAACCCTGAACTTGCAGAGCAAAAGCTGTCGATTCTGCCTCTAACCCTGGGAGGAAACCCGGGCAGAGGGTAGATGGGCCCTCTTCTGCCAAGAAGGTCAGCAAACCAGCAGGATTCGGATCTATGACGCTGTTAGTCAGGATGAACCCAGGTGAGCCCAGGTGCGCCCAGACTCAGCCAAGGTACCAGGAAACCTCAGCACGAAACAGATCTCTAGACTCAGCCTGGGTCCCCATAGTCTAAGTGGCGTTCAGGAGGAGGATTGCACCAAATAAAGAAAAAAACACCATTAAGAAGAAACCCACCTCTTTACATATGGCGTCTTGTTAAGGCGCCCGAAAGAGAATGGTGTGTGCTTCTAAACTAAGACATCCGGATCATCACACTGATCTTTGTGGGTACAAGTTTCAAACAGGATTTACAAAGACAGCCACACAGCCAGCATCTCCTTAGTACTTACCATCCAAGACAGGTCGTAACAACAACAGCAAAAAAACAACTTTGTTTCTCTGCGTTGAATGTGCCTTTTAGCAACTACAGAAAGGAGGAAACCATTTACATTCACTACATGGCCAAAGTCAACGAGGGTTCTGTGGGCTGGCTAACAAGGGAGGTTGTGGGTGTTCCTGGGGGCTGGTGGGAGGGGAAAACACACTTCCAAGACTCTGTTGACACCCGAGCACCCTGGATGTAAGAAAAAGAGACACAGAGAGAAGGCCAAGGCCACCGGCCTTGCCATCCCAATAGCAGCGGATTTACCGTTGGGGATGCCAGCCCAGTGCTCCTCGCAGAAGTTTCTTCCTTGCTGTTTTAAATCCTCACGACTCAGGGACTTCCCTGCTGGTCCAGTGGCCAAGACTCTGCACTCCCAGTGCAGTCAACCCAGCTTCAATCCCTGGTCAGGGAATTAGATCCCACACAACGCAACTAAGAGTTCTCACGCGACAACTAAAGGTCCCGCACGCCGCTTCAACAAAGATTGTGGATCCCACGTGCTGCCATTAAGACCCTGGTGCAGCCAAAATAAGTAAATATTAAAAACAGAAACAAAAAACCCTCACTCCTCTAAGGGTGGTCCCAGAACCAGCAGCACTGGGCCCCTTAGGAGCTAAGTTAGAAGTGCAGAATCTCGGGGACCACCCCAGACTTGCTGAATCAGAGTTAATATTTCATAGGAGCTTCCCAGGTGGCTCTGTGGTAAAGAATCTGCCGTCAATGCAGGAAGACCCCCTGGAGGAGGAAATGGCAACCCACTCCGGTGTTCTTGCCTGGGAAATCCCATGGACAGAGGAGCCTGGCGGGCTACAGTCCATGGAGTCGCAAAGAGCCGGACACAGCTGAGCCAGGGAGCATGCACGCACACAGCATCACACAGACTTCCACAGGGGATGCACATCAGAGTGGAAAACACGGATCCAAAACTGGAAGAACATCTACAAGACCGAGAGCTTAGAAAGTGAGCTCTCATGCCCTGCAAGGGATCAGCAGGGATACCGCCACGCAAACCCAAGAGAGCAGAAAGTTTTCTCCAGTAGGCAGGACAGGAGTGCCTTGGGAACAGGGTAGGTCAGCCAGGGTGGCTCAAAAGCCACTTCTGCAGTGGGGCTCAGACTTCCCGGGAGCTGATATTAAATCAGATACCCGGGCCCCTCTGCGAGAGGGAAGAAGATTCTCTGCCGGCTCCAGCTCGAAAAATGCCAGCACCTCCCCACACACAACAGCACAGGGCTCCTGGCAGATAGAAGATTTGTCTTTTCTCTCCCTTTTAAACCTGTTACCCCACTTCCAAGAGTCAGCTTCAAGAGGCTGACGGAAAAGCTGCACAGGTGTAAGGAGCTTCCCGAGACCTGCATGCCTGCCCTGACTCCAAGACTGGAACCGAGCAAAGGGATTCGGATTTGGGTGTCTGTGACTGTGGAAACTGGTCTCCAACACCTGGCTACTCAAAGTGTGGTCCGAGGACCCGCCGACCTGGGGGCTGATGAGAAAGGCACCTCCTCAGGCCTGCCGCACCTTAACCAGATTCCCAGACAAGTTCAAGGGGGTCCTGCTGATCCTCAGAGCCTGGGGGAGGGGACTGGGGCAGCTGCACTCGTAACCAGGTCTGCTCCTGGGGGTTTCCCCTCCACACACCCACTGGGAAGCGCTGAATGAAAAGGATCTTGGGGAACCACTGCCGACAGAAGGTCGACACCCGCCAGCTCGCCCTGGAGAGAGGCTGGGGGGGGCGGTGCTCCCGGCACTCCTCCCCCTCCGAGGCCACCTGCCGAGGCCACCCTGCTTCTCCTCCGACCCCCTCCGCTCCCAGGGACACCTCCTTCCAAACTGCATGTGGCTGCCCTTCCAGGCCCCGCGCTCGGCTCCCGGCGGCCCCAGACCCCGGGGCCTCCAGCCCCGCCGAAGGCGAGAAGAGCCGACTCACTTCGCTGCCCTCTCAAGCCCCCTCTCCACTTCCATCAGCCCCGCAGCCGCTGCTGGTTCTCAGGCTCCACTCCCGAGTCACTTCCTGCTTTCCTCAGGGCACACGTGTCCCCGGCCACCAAGCTCCGCCCCCACGCGCTGAAACTGGCAGATCCGGCAGGAGAATCAATTCTCTGGTTCACAGCCTCTGCGGGCTCGGGAAGACACCGGGGCGGGTAGAACTGAGCGCTGCATAACCCTCGGCAACCTTCCGGGAAGCCACAGAAACCCAAGGGAACAACATGCTGCAATGTGCCTTTATCATCATTTGTGTTGCTGCGTTCTGGCAGCGTCCTGGGTGAGCAACAGAGCAGGCGACCTGCAATCTCCCACCATCAGCATCCTTCTCAGAGCTTCTAGTTCTGGAAGCCTGTGCAAAGGTTTTTTCTGTTTTGAACTAGTTGCTGCTGGTGCTCTGATTCTAGAGCCCTTCAACAAGAACCAGGGCTTTGCTCTCCTGGCCTTCTAGAAAAGGACCATAGGGTGGGATTGCTAGGTTAGCCAAAAATAAAGAGAGGATATCCAGTTAAACTTGAATGTTAGGTAAGCAACAAATAAGTTTTGAGAGAAGCCTGGCGTGCTGCAATCCATGGGGTCGCAAAGAGTCGGACATGACTTAGTGACTGAACACACAACACATGTCCTGTGTATTCCTTCTCTAAGCAACTCACTACTCTTTGGGACATCCTTCTGCTAAAAGCGTATTTCACAGCAGTTGCTCATCCGAAATTCAGGTGTAACCGGGTGTCCTGTACTGTATCTGACGACCCTACCAGAGAGCAACCAGAAACACTGCCCATAATCACAGTGG